TGTGTGTGAGAGACTGGAGTAGGAGGGCTAGCTGCGGTTTGATGGTTCTCTCGCTAGTGTTATAGGAGTAGTCCGTTATGTTTCCTGCTTGCCTTTTACACTGTCTTTCCTTCACTCTTGCTTTGCACTCGATCTAACCTAGATCTTCCAATTTTCGTTTTTCGTTTCTCCTTTGTCAGAGGAAAATATGGGTTAATATAGTTTATTTTACTTTTGCTTTTTGGTTTTTGGTGCAGGGAGAGAACTGCGCACGGCTTATATGATCCTTATTTCAGGAAAGTCAGGTCTTGGTTGCCTTATAGTTACCGGACCAGTGCCTTCCTATCGCTGGGAAAGAGGCATAGGGGGAGAAAAATGGCGGACGTGAAAATTTTCCTCCTCGTGGTTTGGATTAGCTGGGGAATTAGGTTTAATTTCCTCCTTAATGGTCCGTTCCTTTCTGTTGCAGCTGAATTAGCAACTTGCACATTTAACATATATATTGGCGATTAAAACATTTATTAACTTGTCACTTTTGTTTAAATCACGGAGCACTTTTTTTTTTGTTTTTGTTTGGAGTATTTTGTGTTTTGTTTGGAGTAGCGTATGTGCCAACTCAAATCTAGCTATGCCTTCAAAAGTGAGAGGGCAGCTTATTTATTCTGTTGCGTAAAATAATGGGATTTACATGTACAGCTTTAGGTCGGGTACAAGAGCCTTATACAATAATGGGCCATAGAGTGTGGTAGTCTGGGACGTTAGTATTGGTGAGATTTTGGGAGAGGGGTACAGCGCTGTAAGTTAAGCTTAACATTTGTTAAGCTCAGCTTACAGCGCTGTTCCCTCTATGTTTACATGTTGGCTTTTTTATGCCGAGTTCACTTAGACTAGAGGGTACATTTAATCATGGAGACATTGCTTTTGCAGCTTACTCTTTAAGATGTATTGTGGGTGTGGGTGGGGGGGGGGGGGGGGGGGTGGGTTTATGGAGCCTCAGGGGCAAAGAGGCTCAAGGTTGCCAACGAACAACCTGAGCTCTCCGTGCTTCCCCAAGAGGGAGCTAGTCCGAGATAGTTGTTTATTTTTAGTTATCGTAGCAATATGCAGGGCAAGAGTTACGTTTATGGTTATGAGTTTAGCGATTTAGTTTAAATTTTAACTTTAAGTTTATGTTTTGTTTCTGTTTTGATTGGTTGTTGATTTGAATCTTGTTAACGGTTTGGGTGTGTATGTTGAGTAAAATTTAGTACTGTTTTTATAACTTGGTCTTTAAGGAGTGAGTTTGCTACGATGCGAGGGGTGAGTTGCTACAGTGCCTCGGGGGCTGGAGGTTTAAAATTGCCAACGAACAATTTATAACTCTCCAGCTTCCCCAAGGTGGAGCTGGTCCAGTTTAGGTTGAGATTTTGTGGTTATCGCAGCTGTTAGCAAGGCAAGAGTTATTTTTAGGAGTTATGTGCAGAGTCTTAGGTTTTTTTTTAAATTATTGATTTAGTTTTTAAGTTGTATGTTTTATGCTTCAGGTTGTTAGTTGACTGTTAGTCATTGTTTACTGTTTAGTTGCGTATGTTTAGGTAACTATAGGCTTGACTGTTTTGGTCGTTATCATTTTAGGTTTTGTTGTTTAGTTAATTCAAGTATTTCTGTTGTTGCAGTCTTAATCTCTTATTGGTAGGTTGGTTGAGTGTAGCGGTGTAATTTTGTATTCGTTGTAGCATGAACAGTCAGTTGTGGGTTTGTGTGTGTGTGTGTGTGTTTGTATCGATTGGTTCTTGGTGGGTATGGGATTTATGAATTTTAGTTTACCTTGGAGGGCAGTTTATATGGATTTTAGTGTTGCTTTTTCAGCTGATTCTTTTTAGTCGGACTAGTTGGGGTATGGGGGGTGGGGAAGGATAGGATACTGATGTTGAGCATGGAGGTTCAAGTTGCCGGTAAGCAAGATGTGGCGCTCCATACTTTGCAATAACATTGCTTGGTGTTTAGGTTTAGTTTGGGGGTAGGCTTAAGGTTTTGCATTTGCAATTAGCTATAATATAGGGTTAGTTATTTATAGCTAGTATCTCAGCGCCTCGTCTTTTGGGCAGATTGCGAAGACTTCTAGGGGAGCATCTCCTTGTTGGTGGGCCAGTTCCTTATTTCAGGAGGCGTTAGTAATGGTAGCCCCAAGTTTGCTACGCAGTTAGGGGCTACAGATGGTTGTGATTTGCATCTCGTCTTCAGCTTGCTGTTGTACTGTTGCAGCAGGGTTTCCAGAGTCCACAGGGCTTGTATAGAACTGTTGATCCAGCATCAGGTCTAGTGCAGTTCCCGGGGCATGTTTGGTAGCCCTGCTTTCCAGTGATCAACCAAGTGGCTGAAGGCATCGTGGGTACAGACATGCAGGCTCTATGGAGGGCAAGCCACAAGGTCGCTACGCGGTTAGTGGCTCGCATCCTTTTAGTCCGTAGTTTAGTCTTCTGAGCTTGGCTATGTGCTGGCTTGCATTTTGCTACAGGCTCGAGCCACTCATTCGCATACGCTGCTGGCGGCCCGAGATGGTGAGGCACGCCTGTAGCATTGCAGCATAATATTGGGCCTTTTGGTCTACTGTTGTGTTGCTGCATCAGGGTTGGCAGTGTGTATGGAGCTTGCATAGATCCGCTGGGGCAGCAGCAGGTCTAGGGCAGTCCACAGGCAGGTTTGCTAATCCTGATTTCGCAGTACTTTGTCGTAGGCTTTAGGTTTATTCATTATTGTATGCAGCATAGGGGTGGGGGTTTTGGCTGAAGCTCCAGGTGGTCGCTTGTCATCTCATCAGGTGCGCTGACTCAGTTGCAGTATGGGTCACGCAGGCGCTACGCAGTTGGTGACCCATGTCAGTTGTTGTTGCTCGGTAGCCATGCGAGCTGCGCGATCGCCTACGCAGTTGGCAGCTCGTGGCAGCTAGGGCTAGGTGGGGGGTTGGTCTGTGTATCGCATGGTGCAAGGCGGCTGCTTTACATGTCTCTGCCATTTTAAGGTATGCAGCCATCAGCGTACGTCCTTTATCTGCATGTAAAAGATGCCTATCCCAGTCCAGTGGAGCAGTTGGAATGCACGGCAGCGTCCAGTAGGGAGGTAAGGAGCCTTTCAGAGCAGGTTGGCATAGGTAGCAATCCAGTGGAGGCTTGTTGATTAACTGGTCGTATTTGCAGTGGTGATGGTTAATCTGTTGAGTTAAGGAATGTATGAGTACTTTGCAAGTTATATGGGGGAGGGACTGGGTGAGTATGGGATAGGTGTGGGGGTCTGATGTTTGTTATTTTTAATTTTCAGCATCAGTGTTAGCATCTTGGCTTTGGTTCGGCCATATGGCAGGTATCGCACAGGCATGTTCGATGAGTGTTATTTAGCTTAATATTTAGCTATGTTGGCTGTGTTCTGATTGTCTCCAGGTGTACATTTGAGTGATATTTTGGCAGTCATCAAAGGTTGTGGTATTGCAGGGAGCATGTCAGGATGTTTGGCATTTGTTCTGGCCTTAAGGGCAGGTCACGCACAGACTTAACTGCTGAGTTGTGCAATCAATTGTTTTGCAGTATGTGTCTTGTTAATTCGCCCTCTGTTTGGTGTTTCAGGGAGTTCCAGTTGGTACCATTGGACAGCCAAAATATCGCTGCTGCCGCTCATATGGGACTGGATGTTGCGAAGTGCCCGGTAGGATGCAGGTGCAGTGCAACAGGAACTCATATCTTTGCCTTTTCCAGGTTTGTGGTCGTCGCTGGGCATCACACAACCACCACACGGGAGTGGGACGCAAGTCGCTGGGTTGTTTCGTCACATGGTGAGCGTGCCCTAAAAGATGTCAATCCCAGTCCAGTGCAACAGTCGGGATGCGCAGCAGCGTCCAATAAGGAGGTGCAAGGCCTTTAAGGATGGATTGGCGTAAGTTAGCGTTCCAATGGAGGCTTGAGGTTTGGTAGGCGTTTTGCCCCTCAATCTGGTGGTTAGAGAGAACTTATTATTATTTGCTTTTTAATTTCAGGCTTCGCGCAGGTGCATGTAATTTGTTTGAGCCATAGAGTCTCAGTCTGTTTGGATTTGGCCCTATCTGGATGCTGGTGTCCTGGCAAAGTCTGCTTTCTAGAGGCGTATGTGTCATGCTGTTGGATATCAAAGTAGTATGTTATATGGCATTTAGTAATCTTCTGCAAGGGAGATGTAGTATTTGGTTAATATAAATTTTTTTAATAATAATTGTGATTTATATCTTGATTTCCTATTTTGGTTATAATGAATTACGCAGGAGAAGGGGATTTGTGGGTTGTCGGGGTATTTCTTTGTTTGGTTTCCGATTTTGTGCTGTCATTTCTGCATTTTATAGTAAGTATGTTAATTGGCTGTTTGTATTATTTAATTCTGTCATCTGGAGCAGGTTTTAGTTCTTGTCCAGGCAGCTTATTCTAGGCAGCCATAGGGCATATTAATGTTCAGGTTGTTTCTGGATATTGTTATTCCTGCTACTGTTTGCACTTAGCGCTGCTGGCTATGTTCTAGTTTTGCTAAGTATGCTTTCCAAATGTATTGGTGTAGTTTCTGTTATTCATTACTAGCTGCTTCTAGCATTATTTGTTTCAAGTGCCGTGAAGGCTTCCCTCCCTTAGTTAGGCGTAGATTGAGTAATATTTGAATAAGGCTGACGTGTTCGTTTATTGATTTTGTTTTATATTTATGTATGTATGTATGTTTCTTTTACATAGTGAGATAAGGTGTCTTGCACAGCAAGTATAGGGTTTTATTATTGTATTTCCCTTAGTTTTAAACATAAAGAGGTTTATTCAAAAACAGATATGTATTTTGGGCATAATATATAATGAACTGATAAGTTCGTTAAGATTAATGAAGCTTGTTTCTTATGCTAAATGTTTAAGTCAGTAAATTAAAGAGCATTTTCATTGGTTTTACTGATTCCCATTTCTATTGGGGGTTTCTTAGATAGTTAATTTCAATATTGTCATTAGTTTCTCTGCATTGTCTGTGTATTTTGCCTATAGATTCTATTATCTTGATGATGGCCTTGTTGGCTTTTTTATGTTGTCGAGCATGACCTCATCATTGTTACCGATGCCGCATCCACAATGGTGCACTTTGGGTGTGCTCAGCTTCTTGCGTTGGGATCCAGTAGCTGCACGGGCTGCTTTCGTTTTCAGATGAACTCCTCGGTGAGTTGGCCTAGCTGGTACAGTCGCCCTTTGGCGTCGTGAGGAAACGGTGGGTGGCTCCTTGTTCTTCTTCTGTTCCGATTCCTCGGCAGTGCGCAGCATTTGGGTCTCCTGGGCCTGGATTGTGATAGCATTTTCATTTGTTAGTGTTGGGCTTATGGCATGTTGGTTTAGGCTGCTTGAGCAGCAGGGCATATCCTCCTCTTTATTCTTCCTCATTTCGTTTGTTGTTATGTCACTGCCGTGGGCCAATGGAAGGTTGCCCGCCGTGAGACTGAGGGAGCAGAGGCTATCATTGTTATTGTTATTGTCATCGTAAACTATAGGGTTTGCCAGATCAAGCTCCTCCGAAGTTCTGGGTGCCCGAGATCTAGAGCGCCTCTGTTTGTCCGCGTAGGAGACAGTTGTTTTGATCGCTCCCGTGATTCTTCTGGTGTAGGGCCTGTTTGCCGACTTCAAGGGTTTGAGGCGCTTTAGGTTTTGCCCTCTGATTTTCTTGCCAGAGACCAGCTGCTGCAAAGGTATGTTGCTCTCGCTGTCGTCATCACTGTCATTGAAGAGTTGCTTTCTGGTGTTTCCATTACCGCCTCCAGAGTTATACGTGGCTTGTAGTGACTGCATGATTAACAGATTCGCGCTCTTGTTGAAAGGAGTGGGAGAGGTCAGTAGCAGTCTTTCTAGTTCTGTTCCTCTTGACTTGGTGGGGGTATCTTCCACTTTGGGAATTATGGTGGGATCAAATTGAGGGGTGGTGCAATCTCTGACCTTCTTATTTTCTTTTCCCTTGTAATTATCCATTTCAACTGGTTGTGTTATTGGTTGTGCCTCAGTTTGCGTTGTTGATTGGGAGCATATGGCGTTATTTATTCCTGTTTTCTTATTGAGTCTAGGATCTCTGTTGTTCTCCGGTCTATAGTGATGTCTTTCCCTTATGCTCATTCCAGGCGGGTCTAATGCAGCCAGATATGCTGGAAGGTGCTCAGCTTCAGTGGCTTTAGCTGCGGCAGCATGTTTCATTTGCAGAAGCGTGGTATGGAGATTCCTGAAATGTTTTTCTGGGTCAGTGACGGGTGCTATAGAATTACAGGTCCTCACTATGATTCATGCTAAGCCTCTCCCTAGTAGCTGGTGGGAATGGTTTTTACCGTTTAATTGGAAGAATTTATCCTGAGTCAGTAGGGCTTGGTGCTTCTGGCGTCCGCCTTCTGTGTATTATTTGGTTGTTGGCTTTGGTAGCACTTAGGGCAGGTGCTCACTGGTGTATAGAATTATTCTGAACCGTTGTGGTGCCTTGGAATGCGTTTTGTTGCTGGAGATTTGTAAAATTATTCTTATTTTGTTTAAATTTGCAAATTTGCCCACGCTTCTGTCTTCTTCTTTTTTTGTGTGGCCAGAGTTGTTAGGAGGGAAAAATACCTTCGTTATCGCTTTTCGTGTAATTTAGTAATTATTTATTTTTATTTTTATGTTGGTTGGGATCCGATTAAAGAGTTTTGTTTTATTTTATTTTGTGATTTAGTTGTTAGAGTTTAATTTCCCTAGGGGGTGGCGTGATGTTTGTGCAGTGTAGTTTCTTTCGTTAGTTTATTGGATTTTCTTATGTTTCAGTATTTGCGGGTTTCATGGTGTAAAAATTTAAGGTGGTGTGTTATTTGGAGGTGTTTTGGAATTTATTGTTTATTTTATTTAATTTTCAGTAACTTAAAGTGTAGATGGGAGTGACAGCTGGTTATGACAGTTTGTTTTCTTAGTAGTAGTTCATTCATCTTCATCTGAGAGCATGGAGCTCTTATTAGGGATAGGTTTTGTTATAATATTTGTAATTTTAGTGTCAGCGGCCATATTCTCGAGTTTGGTGGCCACCACTTCGAGCATGGAGGCTAGTTTCTCAGTGTTTTCCATCAGGATTTTCCGTGTGCTGCTACAGTTGCAGGTGGGCAGAGTGGGACGAGTGGAAGTGGAAGCGGAGGCGGAGGGGGTGGCTGGTCGATGTCCCTTGCTGCTGCTTCCTCCGCGAATTTGTTTCTTTGCTCTTGGTTTGGGATCTGATTTTCCGCTAGCAGGGGCAGTGTTCTCATCAGTGTGGGTGCCACCTTTGGCGTTATTATTATCCTCCTCATTTTCGCTATAGTTGGCGGCCATTGTTTCGGCGATTTTTTGGCATATGGTGGCGCTTACGCCAAGTTCCTTAAGGATTTTGCGCATGTCCGGGTTAAGGGCAGCAGTGTTCTGAGTGGATGAGGAGATGGATGAGGAAATGGAGATGATACTCTCATTGTCATCTTGTTCCGGTTGTGGAAGCTGGAATCCAGGTAATTGGAATGGTTCCGGTTCTGTAGTTTGGTTGGACTTGCCAGAGGCTTCTTGTTGAGTGGCAGTTTCATTCAGCTCATCAGGGAACAGGTTGCGGTTGGGAGTGGGCGTCCGTGGCTGTGGCTTAGATGTTGTGGCACGTGAGGCTGCATCGGATGTTGTCTCTTCTACTGAGTTGCCAGCTCCCAAGATTGGTGTCGGTGGTGCTGTTGAGTTAGTAGGGATGACGCTCCTGAGGGTTTTTTCCAACAGTAATGCCTGTTGAGTTTGTAACTCACGGTTTGTCTCTGTTATATTGGCTGCTTTTTCACAGAATTTATCAGGGAGCTGCATGGTTCCAGTTGTGAGGTGGTCATTTATCGCTTGGCCGACCTCGTCGTTTTCTACGTCAATGTCGGTGTCCACCTCTAATTCCGAATCATGAGGTTCGTGTTTTCTTGATGCCGGACTTTGCACTGGTTTTGCTAATTTTTTTCATCTCCTGTGTGTGTTTCGCGTAGAACTGCAGCAGGGTGGATGTAGCCGTAATTGTTGTTGATTGATTTCCTGACGTTTTCTTCTTGGTGATTGTCTTTTTTGGTTTATTTTCCATTTTGCCTGTTTATGGCTGCTTCGTGCTGGTTTCTTTTGATAGGTTCCGGAGTGAACTACTGGTTCCGCGGGTGCGAGGGATGGATTTAGTATGGTGAGTCAGTGTGGGGAGAGAGTTTTTGGTTTGAGCGTGCGCGCATACATGTTCGGAGGCGATGTATGTTGCTTATGTGTTGTTTATGTGTTGTTTATGTGTTCGCTCTAGGGGGAATTAGTGAGCGATTACCCAGGATTGTGTTCGCTCTCTATTTCGACTTATGAGTGAAATTTGGTTATAGAGAGCACAGAGTAGTCTCAGAAGGTGAGTTCATGTTGGTTTATGTGTTTGTTTTAGGTTTTGCTTCGTACGTGCGTCAGTATGTGTAAGGAGTGGGAAGAAAGGGATAAATGTGAGATGATAATATTAGAGGGAAGTTGTCTGTATGGTAATCCTTTCTTTTCCTTTATTTTTTTACATGGTTATACAGCTTTTTAATTGCAAGTTATTTGATTATGCTCATTTTATTAGAAATTTGTGGCATAGCTTGTGTAGATTGCAGAATTTATGAGGGAAGGAGAGAGTTTTATGTTATGTAATTTAGAAGTTTGGGTTTTCAGGTAGATTAATTAGCGGGTATGACTTATCTGTTTTCCGTGCAGAGCATCAGCGGCTGATTACATGGCAGTATGGTCCTGTAGTTATTGTTCAGGTTAAGCCATTTTAAGGTTTATTTTGTTTAGTTTGTCTTTGAGGGCTATTAGTTTTAATTTATTAAGTTTATTGTTTCATTGGCTTTGTTTATTTGTTAGTTACTGTTGTTTTATTGTTTATCAGTTTGTTAGTTTCCAGTTCATTTATTGGCTTATTAGTTCAGACCATTTATAGGTTAGGTTTAGTTGGCCGCATGAATCGTGTTAAGTCTGCGCACCATGCTCTATAATTTGCCTTTTTTAATTTGTTAACTTATGTTAGATAAAAGTTAAAATTAAAAGTTTATTGTTTTATTTATTGATCGTTTTATATGCGTTGACTGTTTAATGCTTATTAAAAGCTTGGTTTAAGATTTTCTTCCAGACATTGAATAGCAATGCTTTGACTTCTGTAGTTCCGCACAGGATTATTCAATAATGATTCGATAGCGACCGTAGTAGCATAATTTGGCTAGTTAAGTATGTTAACTAAGCATTTTAGCACATATTCACTTTGTGTTATGGCATATTACAATTTATTAACTTTGACTTCACTTTGACATGACATTGATTTAACTTTGAAACGACATTGAAATAAAATTCACGGAGCACTTTTTTTTTTTTTTTTTTGTTTGGTTTTGTTTGGAGTAGCGTATATGCCAACTCAAATCTAGCTATGCCTTCAAAAGTGAGAGGGCAGCTTATTTATTCTGTTGCGTAAAATAATGGGATTTACATGTACAGCTTTAGGTCGGGTACAAGAGCCTTATACAATAATGGGCCATAGAGTGTGGTAGTCTGGGACGTTAGTATTGGTGAGATTTTGGGAGAGGGGTACAGCGCTGTAAGTTAAGCTTAACATTTGTTAAGCTCAGCTTACAGCGCTGTTCCCTCTATGTTTACATGTTGGCTTTTTTATGCCGAGTTCACTTAGACTAGAGGGTACATTTAATCATGGAGACATTGCTTTTGCAGCTTACTCTTTAAGATGTATTGTGGGTGTGGGTGGGGGGTGGGGGAGGGGTGGGTTTATGGAGCCTCAGGGGCAAAGAGGCTCAAGGTTGCCAACGAACAACCTGAGCTCTCCGTGCTTCCCCAAGAGGGAGCTAGTCCGAGATAGTTGTTTATTTTTAGTTATCGTAGCAATATGCAGGGCAAGAGTTACGTTTATGGTTATGAGTTTAGCGATTTAGTTTAAATTTTAACTTTAAGTTTATGTTTTGTTTCTGTTTTGATTGGTTGTTGATTTGAATCTTGTTAACGGTTTGGGTGTGTATGTTGAGTAAAATTTAGTACTGTTTTTATAACTTGGTCTTTAAGGAGTGAGTTTGCTACGATGCGAGGGGTGAGTTGCTACAGTGCCTCGGGGGCTGGAGGTTTAAAATTGCCAACGAACAATTTATAACTCTCCAGCTTCCCCAAGGTGGAGCTGGTCCAGTTTAGGTTGAGATTTTGTGGTTATCGCAGCTGTTAGCAAGGCAAGAGTTATTTTTAGGAGTTATGTGCAGAGTCTTAGGTTTTTTTTTTAAATTATTGATTTAGTTTTTAAGTTGTATGTTTTATGCTTCAGGTTGTTAGTTGACTGTTAGTCATTGTTTACTGTTTAGTTGCGTATGTTTAGGTAACTATAGTCTTGACTGTTTTGGTCGTTATCATTTTAGGTTTTGTTGTTTAGTTAATTCAAGTATTACTGTTGTTGCAGTCTTAGTCTCTTATTGGTAGGTTGGTTGAGTGTAGCGGTGTAATTTTGTATTCGTTGTAGCATGAACAGTCAGTTGTGGGTTTGTGTGTGTGTGTGTGTGTTTGTATCGATTGGTTCTTGGTGGGTATGGGATTTATGAATTTTAGTTTACCTTGGAGGGCAGTTTATATGGATTTTAGTGTTGCTTTTTCAGCTGATTCTTTTTAGTCGGACTAGTTGGGGTATGGGGGGTGGGGAAGGATAGGATACTGATGTTGAGCATGGAGGTTCAAGTTGCCGGTAAGCAAGATGTGGCGCTCCATACTTTGCAATAACATTGCTTGGTGTTTAGGTTTAGTTTGGGGGTAGGCTTAAGGTTTTGCATTTGCAATTAGCTATAATATAGGGTTAGTTATTTATAGCTAGTATCTCAGCGCCTCGTCCTTTGGGCAGATTGCGAAGACTTCTAGGGGAGCATCTCCTTGTTGGTGGGCCAGTTCCTTATTTCAGGAGGCGTTAGTAATGGTAGCCCCAAGTTTGCTACGCAGTTAGGGGCTACAGATGGTTGTGATTTGCATCTCGTCTTCAGCTTGCTGTTGTACTGTTGCAGCAGGGTTTCCAGAGTCCACAGGGCTTGTATAGAACTGTTGATCCAGCATCAGGTCTAGTGTAGTTCCCGGGGCATGTTTGGTAGCCCTGCTTTCCAGTGATCAACCAAGTGGCTGAAGGCATCGTGGGTACAGACATGCAGGCTCTATGGAGGGCAAGCCACAAGGTCGCTACGCGGTTAGTGGCTCGCATCCACTAAGTCCGAGTTTAGTCTTCTGAGCTAGCTGTGTGCTGGCTTGCATTTTGCTGCAGGCTCGAGCCACTCATTCGCATACGCTGCTGGCGGCCCGAGATGGTGAGGCACGCCTGTAGCATTGCAGCATAATATTGGGCCTTTTGGTCTACTGTTGTGTTGCTGCATCAGGGTTGGCAGTGTGTATGGGGCTTGCATAGATCCGCTGGGGCAGCAGCAGGTCTAGGGCAGTCCTCAGGCAGGTTTGCTAATCCTGAATTCGCAGTACTTTGTCGTAGGCTTTAGGCTTATTCATTATTGTATGCAGCATAGGGGTGGGAATTTTGGCTAAAGCTCCAGGTGGCCGCTTGTCATCTCATCAGGTGCGCTGACTCAGTTGCAGTATGGGTCACGCAGGCGCTACGCAGTTGGTGACCCATGTCAGTTGCTGTTGCTCGGTAGCCATGCGAGCTGCGCGATCACCTACGCAGTTGGCAGCTCGTGGCAGTTAGGGCTAGGTGGGGGTTGGTCTGTGTATCGCATGGTGCAAGGCGGCTGCTTTACATGTCTCTGCCATTTTAAGGTACGCAGCCATCAGCGTACGTCCTTTATCTGCATGTAAAAGATGCCAATCCCAGTCCAGTGGAGCAGTTGGAATGCACGGCAGCGTCCAGTAGGGAGGTAAGGAGCCTTTCAGAGCAGGTTGGCATAGGTAGCAATCCAGTGGAGGCTTGTTGATTAACTGGTCGTATTTGCAGTGGTGATGGTTAATCTGTTGAGTTAAGGAATGTATGAGTACTTTGCAAGTTATATGGGGGAGGGACTGGGTGAGTATGGGATAGGTGTGGGGGTCTGATGTTTGTTATTTTTAATTTTCAGCATCAGTGTTAGCATCTTGGCTTTGGTTCGGCCATATGGCAGGTATCGCACAGGCATGTTCGATGAGTGTTATTTAGCTTAATATTTAGCTATGTTGGCTGTGTTCTGATTGTCTCCAGGTGTACATTTGAGTGATATTTTGGCAGTCATCAAAGGTTGTGATATTGCAGGGAGCATGTCAGGATGTTTGGCATTTGTTCTGGCCTTAAGGGCAGGTCACGCACAGACTTAACTGCTGAGTTGTGCAATCAATTGTTTTGCAGTATGTGTCTTGTTAATTCGCCCTCTGTTTGGTGTTTCAGGGAGTTCCAGTTGGTACCATTGGACAGCCAAAATATCGCTGCTGCCGCTCATATGGGACTGGATGTTGCGAAGTGCCCGGTAGGATGCAGGTGCAGTGCAACAGGAACTCATATCTTTGCCTTTTCCAGGTTTGTGGTCGTCGCTGGGCATCACACAACCACCACACGGGAGTGGGACGCAAGTCGCTGGGTTGTTTCGTCACATGGTGAGCGTGCCCTAAAAGATGTCAATCCCAGTCCAGTGCAACAGTCGGGATGCGCAGCAGCGTCCAATAAGGAGGTGCAAGGCCTTTAAGGATGGATTGGCGTAAGTTAGCGTTCCAATGGAGGCTTGAGGTTTGGTAGGCGTTTTGCCCCTCAATCTGGTGGTTAGAGAGAACTTATTATTATTTGCTTTTTAATTTCAGGCTTCGCGCAGGTGCATGTAATTTGTTTGAGCCATAGAGTCTCAGTCTGTTTGGATTTGGCCCTATCTGGATGCTGGTGTCCTGGCAAAGTCTGCTTTCTAGAGGCGTGTGTGTCATGCTGTTGGATTTCAAAGTAGTATGTTATATGGCATTTAGTAATCTTCTGCAAGGGAGATGTAGTATTTGGTTAATATAAATTTTTTTAATAATAATTGTGATTTATATCTTGATTTCCTATTTTGGTTATAATGAATTACGCAGGAGAAGGGGATTTGTGGGTTGTCGGGGTATTTCTTTGTTTGGTTTCCGATTTTGTGCTGTCATTTCTGCATTTTATAGTAAGTATGTTAATTGGCTGTTTGTATTATTTAATTCTGTCATCTGGAGCAGGTTTTAGTTCTTGTCCAGGCAGCTTATTCTAGGCAGCCATAGGGCATATTAATGTTCAGGTTGTTTCTGGATATTGTTATTCCTGCTACTGTTTGCACTTAGCGCTGCTGGCTATGTTCTAGTTTTGCTAAGTATGCTTTCCAAATGTATTGGTGTAGTTTCTGTTATTCATTACTAGCTGCTTCTAGCATTATTTGTTTCAAGTGCCGTGAAGGCTTCCCTCCCTTAGTTAGGCGTAGATTGAGTAATATTTGAATAAGGCTGACGTGTTCGTTTATTGATTTTGTTTTATATTTATGTATGTATGTATGTTTCTTTTACATAGTGAGATAAGGTGTCTTGCACAGCAAGTATAGGGTTTTATTATTGTATTTCCCTTAGTTTTAAACATAAAGAGGTTTATTCAAAAACAGATATGTATTTTGGGCATAATATATAATGAACTGATAAGTTCGTTAAGATTAATGAAGCTTGTTTCTTATGCTAAATGTTTAAGTCAGTAAATTAAAGAGCATTTTCATTGGTTTTACTGATTCCCATTTCTATTGGGGGTTTCTTAGATAGTTAATTTCAATATTGTCATTAGTTTCTCTGCATTGTCTGTGTATTTTGCCTATAGATTCTATTATCTTGATGATGGCCTTGTTGGCTTTTTTTATGTTGTCGAGCATGACCTCATCATTGTTACCGATGCCGCATCCACAATGGTGCACTTTGGGTGTGCTCAGCTTCTTGCGTTGGGATCCAGTAGCTGCACGGGCTGCTTTCGTTTTCAGATGAACTCCTCGGTGAGTTGGCCTAGCTGGTACAGTCGCCCTTTGGCGTCGTGAGGAAACGGTGGGTGGCTCCTTGTTCTTCTTCTGTTCCGATTCCTCGGCAGTGCGCAGCATTTGGGTCTCCTGGGCCTGGATTGTGATAGCATTTTCATTTGTTAGTGTTGGGCTTATGGCATGTTGGTTTAGGCTGCTTGAGCAGCAGGGCATATCCTCCTCTTTATTCTTCCTCATTTCGTTTGTTGTTATGTCACTGCCGTGGGCCAATGGAAGGTTGCCCGCCGTGAGACTGAGGGAGCAGAGGCTATCATTGTTATTGTTATTGTCATCGTAAACTATAGGGTTTGCCAGATCAAGCTCCTCCGAAGTTCTGGGTGCCCGAGATCTAGAGCGCCTCTGTTTGTCCGCGTAGGAGACAGTTGTTTTGATCGCTCCCGTGATTCTTCTGGTGTAGGGCCTGTTTGCCGACTTCAAGGGTTTGAGGCGCTTTAGGTTTTGCCCTCTGATTTTCTTGCCAGAGACCAGCTGCTGCAAAGGTATGTTGCTCTCGCTGTCGTCATCACTGTCATTGAAGAGTTGCTTTCTGGTGTTTCCATTACCGCCTCCAGAGTTATACGTGGCTTGTAGTGACTGCATGATTAACAGATTCGCGCTCTTGTTGAAAGGAGTGGGAGAGGTCAGTAGCAGTCTTTCTAGTTCTGTTCCTCTTGACTTGGTGGGGGTATCTTCCACTTTGGGAATTATGGTGGGATCAAATTGAGGGGTGGTGCAATCTCTGACCTTCTTATTTTCTTTTCCCTTGTAATTATCCATTTCAACTGGTTGTGTTATTGGTTGTGCCTCAGTTTGCGTTGTTGATTGGGAGCATATGGCGTTATTTATTCCTGTTTTCTTATTGAGTCTAGGATCTCTGTTGTTCTCCGGTCTATAGTGATGTCTTTCCCTTATGCTCATTCCAGGCGGGTCTAATGCAGCCAGATATGCTGGAAGGTGCTCAGCTTCAGTGGCTTTAGCTGCGGCAGCATGTTTCATTTGCAGAAGCGTGGTATGGAGATTCCTGAAATGTTTTTCTGGGTCAGTGACGGGTGCTATAGAATTACAGGTCCTCACTATGATTCATGCTAAGCCTCTCCCTAGTAGCTGGTGGGAATGGTTTTTACCGTTTAATTGGAAGAATTTATCCTGAGTCAGTAGGGCTTGGTGCTTCTGGCGTCCGCCTTCTGTGTATTATTTGGTTGTTGGCTTTGGTAGCACTTAGGGCAGGTGCTCACTGGTGTATAGAATTATTCTGAACCGTTGTGGTGCCTTGGAATGCGTTTTGTTGCTGGAGATTTGTAAAATTATTCTTATTTTGTTTAAATTTGCAAATTTGCCCACGCTTCTGTCTTCTTCTTTTTTTAGTGTGGCCAGAGTTGTTAGGAGGGAAAAATACCTTCGTTATCGCTTTTCGTGTAATTTAGTAATTATTTATTTTTATTTTTATGTTGGTTGGGATCCGATTAAAGAGTTTTGTTTTATTTTATTTTGTGATTTAGTTGTTAGAGTTTAATTTCCCTAGGGGGTGGCGTGATGTTTGTGCAGTGTAGTTTCTTTCGTTAGTTTATTGGATTTTCTTATGTTTCAGTATTTGCGGGTTTCATGGTGTAAAAATTTAAGGTGGTGTGTTATTTGGAGGTGTTTTGGAATTTATTGTTTATTTTATTTAATTTTCAGTAACTTAAAGTGTAGATGGGAGTGACAGCTGGTTATGACAGTTTGTTTTCTTAGTAGTAGTTCATTCATCTTCATCTGAGAGCATGGAGCTCTTATTAGGGATAGGTTTTGTTATAATATTTGTAATTTTAGTGTCAGCGGCCATATTCTCGAGTTTGGTGGCCACCACTTCGAGCATGGAGGCTAGTTTCTCAGTGTTTTCCATCAGGATTTTCCGTGTGCTGCTACAGTTGCAGGTGGGCAGAGTGGGACGAGTGGAAGTGGAAGCGGAGGCGGAGGGGGTGGCTGGTCGATGTCCCTTGCTGCTGCTTCCTCCGCGAATTTGTTTCTTTGCTCTTGGTTTGGGATCTGATTTTCCGCTAGCAGGGGCAGTGTTCTCATCAGTGTGGGTGCCACCTTTGGCGTTATTATTATCCTCCTCATTTTCGCTATAGTTGGCGGCCATTGTTTCGGCGATTTTTTGGCATATGGTGGCGCTTACGCCAAGTTCCTTAAGGATTTTGCGCATGTCCGGGTTAAGGGCAGCAGTGTTCTGAGTGGATGAGGAGATGGATGAGGAAATGGAGATGATACTCTCATTGTCATCTTGTTCCGGTTGTGGAAGCTGGAATCCAGGTAATTGGAATGGTTCCGGTTCTGTAGTTTGGTTGGACTTGCCAGAGGCTTCTTGTTGAGTGGCAGTTTCATTCAGCTCATCAGGGAACAGGTTGCGGTTGGGAGTGGGCGTCCGTGGCTGTGGCTTAGATGTTGTGGCACGTGAGGCTGCATCGGATGTTGTCTCTTCTACTGAGTTGCCAGCTCCCAAGATTGGTGTCGGTGGTGCTGTTGAGTTAGTAGGGATGACGCTCCTGAGGGTTTTTTCCAACAGTAATGCCTGTTGAGTTTGTAACTCACGGTTTGTCTCTGTTATATTGGCTGCTTTTTCACAGAATTTATCAGGGAGCTGCATGGTTCCAGTTGTGAGGTGGTCATTTATCGCTTGGCCGACCTCGTCGTTTTCTACGTCAATGTCGGTGTCCACCTCTAATTCCGAATCATGAGGTTCGTGTTTTCTTGATGCCGGACTTTGCACTGGTTTTGCTAATTTTTTCATCTCCTGTGTGTGTTTCGCGTAGAACTGCAGCAGGGTGGATGTAGCCGTAATTGTTGTTGATTGATTTCCTGACGTTTTCTTCTTGGTGATTGTCTTTTTTGGTTTATTTTCCATTTTGCCTGTTTATGGCTGCTTCGTGCTGGTTTCTTTTGATAGGTTCCGGAGTGAACTACTGGTTCCGCGGGTGCGAGGGATGGATTTAGTATGGTGAGTCAGTGTGGGGAGAGAGTTTTGGTTTGAGCGTGCGCGCATACATGTTCGGAGGCGATGTATGTTGCTTATGTGTTGTTTATGTGTTGTTTATGTGTTCGCTCTAGGGGGAATTAGTGAGCGATTACCCAGGATTGTGTTCGCTCTCTATTTCGACTTATGAGTGAAATTTGGTTATAGAGAGCACAGAGTAGTCTCAGAAGGTGAGTTCATGTTGGTTTATGTGTTTGTTTTAGGTTTTGCTTCGTACGTGCGTCAGTATGTGTAAGGAGTGGGAAGAAAGGGATAAATGTGAGATGATAATATTAGAGGGAAGTTGTCTGTATGGTAATCCTTTCTTTTCCTTTATTTTTTTTACATGGTTATACAGCTTTTTAATTGCAAGTTATTTGATTATGCTCATTTTGTTAGAAATTTGTGGCATAGCTTGTGTAGATTGCAGAATTTATGAGGGAAGGAGAGAGTTTTATGTTATGTAATTTAGAAGTTTGGGTTTTCAGGTAGATTAATTAGCGGGTATGACTTATCTGTTTTCCGTGCAGAGCATCAGCGGCTGATTACATGGCAGTATGGTCCTGTAGTTATTGTTCAGGTTAAGCCATTTTAAGGTTTATTTTGTTTAGTTTGTCTTTGAGGGCTATTAGTTTTAATTTATTAAGTTTATTGTTTCATTGGCTTTGTTTATTTGTTAGTTACTGTTGTTTTATTGTTTATCAGTTTGTTAGTTTCCAGTTCATTTATTGGCTTATTAGTTCAGACCATTTATAGGTTAGGTTTAGTTGGCCGCATGAATCGTGTTAAGTCTGCGCACCATGCTCTATAATTTGCCTTTTTTAATTTGTTAACTTATGTTAGATAAAAGTTAAAATTAAAAGTTTATTGTTTTATTTATTGATCGTTTTATATGCGTTGACTGTTTAATGCTTATTAAAAGCTTGGTTTAAGATTTTCTTCCAGACATTGAATAGCAATGCTTTGACTTCTGTAGTTCCGCACAGGATTATTCAATAATGATTCGATAGCGACCGTAGTAGCATAATTTGGCTAGTTAAGTATGTTAACTAAGCATTTTAGCACATATTCACTTTGTGTTATGGCATATTACAATTTATTAACTTTGACTTCACTTTGACATGACATTGATTTAACTTTGAAACGACATTGAAATAAAATTCACGGAGCACTTTTTTTTTTTGTTTGGAGTAGCGTATGTGCCAACTCAAATCTAGCTATGCCTTCAAAAGTGAGAGGGCAGCTTATTTATTCTGTTGCGTAAAATAATGGGATTTACATGTACAGCTTTAGGTCGGGTACAAGAGCCTTATACAATAATGGGCCATAGAGTGTGGTAGTCTGGGACGTTAGTATTGGTGAGATTTTGGGAGAGGGGTACAGCGCTGTAAGTTAAGCTTAACATTTGTTAAGCTCAGCTTACAGCGCTGTTCCCTCTATGTTTACATGTTGGCTTTTTATGCCGAGTTCACTTAGACTAGAGGGTACATTTAATCATGGAGACATTGCTTTTGCAGCTTACTCTTTAAGATGTATTGTGGGTGTGGGTGGGGGGTGGGGGGGGGGTGGGTTTATGGAGCCTCAGGGGCAAAGAGGCTCAAGGTTGCCAACGAACAACCTGAGCTCTCCGTGCTTCCCCAAGAGGGAGCTAGTCCGAGATAGTTGTTTATTTTTAGTTATCGTAGCAATATGCAGGGCAAGAGTTACGTTTATGGTTATGAGTTTAGCGATTTAGTTTAAATTTTAACTTTAAGTTTATGTTTTGTTTCTGTTTTGATTGGTTGCTGATTTGAATCTTGTTAACGGTTTGGGTGTGTATGTTGAGTAAAATTTAGTACTGTTTTTATAACTTGGTCTTTAAGGAGTGAGTTTGCTACGATGCGAGGGGTGAGTTGCTACAGTGCCTCGGGGGCTGGAGGTTTAAAATTGCCAACGAACAATTTATAACTCTCCAGCTTCCCCAAGGTGGAGCTGGTCCAGTTTAGGTTGAGATTTTGTGGTTATCGCAGCTGTTAGCAAGGCAAGAGTTATTTTTAGGAGTTATGTGCAGAGTCTTAGGTTTTAAATTATTGATTTAGTTTTTAAGTTGTATGTTTTATGCTTCAGGTTGTTAGTTGACTGTTAGTCATTGTTTACTGTTTAGTTGCGTATGTTTAGGTAATTATAGGCTTGACTGTTTTGGTCGTTATCATTTTAGGTTTTGTTGTTTAGTTAATTCAAGTATTACTGTTGTTGCAGTCTTAGTCTCTTATTGATAGGTTGGTTGAGTGTAGCGGTGTAATTTTGTATTCGTTGTAGCATGAACAGTCAGTTGTGGGTTTGTGTGTGTGTGTGTGTGTTTGTATCGATTGGTTCTTGGTGGGTATGGGATTTATGAATTTTAGTTTACCTTGGAGGGCAGTTTATATGGATTTTAGTGTTGCTTTTTCAGCTGATTCTTTTTAGTCGGACTAGTTGGGGTATGGGGGGTGGGGAAGGATAGGATACTGATGTTGAGCATGGAGGTTCAAGTTGCCGGTAAGCAAGATGTGGCGCTCCATACTTTGCAATAGCATTGCTTGGTGTTTAGGTTTAGTTTGGGGGTAGGCTTAAGGTTTTGCATTTGCAATTAGCTATAATATAGGGTTAGTTATTTATAGCTAGTATCTCAGCGCCTCGTCCTTTGGGCAGGTTGCAAAGACTTCTAGGGGGTGCATCTCCTTGTTGGTGGGCCAGTTCCTTATTTCAGGAGGCGTTAGTAATGGTAGCCCCAAGTTTGCTACGCAGTTAGGGGCTACAGATGGTTGTGACTTGCATCTCGTCTTCAGCTTGCTGTTGTGCTGTTGCAGCAGGGTTTCCAGAGTCCACAGGGCTTGTATAGAACTGTTGATCCAGCATCAGGTCTAGTGCAGTTCCCGGGGCATGTTTGGTAGCCCTGCTTTCCAGTGATCAACCAAGTGGCTGAAGGCATCGTGGGTACAGACATGCAGGCTCTATGGAGGGCAAGCCACAAGGTCGCTACGCGGTTAGTGGCTCGCATCCGCTAAGTCCGAGTTTAGTCTTCTGAGCTAGCTGTGTGCTGGCTTGCATTTTGCTGCAGGCTCGAGCCACTCGTTCGCATACGCTGCTGGCGGCCCGAGATGGTGAGGCACACCTGTAGCATTGCAGCATAATATTAGGCCTTTTGGTCTACTGTTGTGTTGCTGCATCAGGGTTGGCAGTGTGTATGGAGTTTGCATAGATCCGCTGGGCAGCAGCAGGTCTGGGGCAGTCCACAGGCAGGTTTGCTAATCCTGATTTCGCAGTACTTTGTCGTAGGCTTTAGGTTTATTCGTTATTGTATGCAGCATAGGGGTGGGGGTTTTGGCTGAAGCTCCAGGTGGTCGCTTGTCATCTCATCAGGTGAGCAGACTCGGTTGCAGTGTGGGTCACGCAGGCGCTACGCAGTTGGTGACCCATGTCAGTTGTTGTTGCTCGGTAGCCATGCGAGCTGCGCGATCGCATACGCAGTTGGCAGCTCGTGGCAGATAGGGCTGAGTGGGGATTGGTCTGCGTATCACATGGTGCAAGGCGGCTGCTTTGCATGTCTCTGCCGTTTTAGGTATGCAGCCATCAGCGTACGTCCTTTATCTGCATGTAAAAGATGCTTATCCCAGTCCAGTGGAGCAGTTGGAGTGCACGGCAGCGTCCAGTAGGGAGGTAAGGAGCCTTTCAGAGCAGGTTGGCATAGGTAGCAATCCAGTGGAGGCTTGTAGATTAACTGGTCATATTTGCAGTGGTGATGGTTGATCTGTTGAGTTAGGGAATGTATGAGTGCTTTGCAAGTTATATGGGGGAGGGACTGGGTGAGTATGGGATAGGTGTGGGGGTCTGATGTTTATTATTTTTAATTTTCAGCATCAGTGTTAGCATCTTGGCTTTGGTTCGGCCATATGGCAGGTATCGCACAGGCATTTGGTGGGAGTTGTTTAACTTGGCAGCTTGGCCCGAGCAGAGTTTTTTCGCACATTGCTTGCGGGGTTATTCCCGATTTGTTTGCATATTGTAACTTAGTAGGTGTGATTTGTGTGCGTAGGGGAGGTCGGTTTGGATCAGTCTGAGGTGTCCGAGGTGAGGTCAATAAAGTTTGGTTTGCTGGGGTTGTTCCTGGCTCTAACTCTAATTAGATCTTCTAGATAGGTTCCAGTGTACCCTCTTTCCTTTTCCTTTTGTTTCCGTTCCTGTTCACTCAGTGTCCATTTGCTGAAAGATGGGAGGTGTTCTGGTTTCCTGCTAGATTCAGGAGATTTGGGTGGATCTTCTTGTTGTATCATCTCCATGAGTCTGCCCTGTGCTGCTATTAGATTTAAGTCCAGGAGTTGGTCTTGGGTGGGTGGTGGGAGTTCGTGCGGTTGTAGGGGCGTCATAACCATTCTCTGAATGTATTCCGGCTGATATTTTAAGAGTTCTGCAGTTTGTACCCTGGTTCTGTGTCCTTTTCTCAGGGCTCTGGCGATGTCGTTAATGTAATCAATGCTAGGTCTTTCAACCTCATAACCACTCCTTTTGGCTCTTTCGTATTCCCTTTTTTTCCTTTTCTCCCATTTATCGTCTTCGTCTTGTTTAGCTTTACGATGAGCTCGGATTTTCTCTCTTTGCTCTAGTAGGACTAATGTTGATGGGTAGGGTTCTAGGTTCTCAGTTTTAGCAGCTCTGGGGTTATCTTTTAGTAGTTTGTCCCGAGTTGGGATTGTGTGTTTGTCTAGCTGTTCCTTAAGCCTAGGTCTTTCCATTCTCTCGGGTACGTAGGGTTTTATTAGGATGCTTCTAGCTTCTGGGTTAGGATGAACAGATAAGGCTTGTGCGAGCCTTTCACTGGCTTTGTTGTAGGTTTCTTTTATGGACTCTATGTTATATTTATCTCTGATGTCTACATTTCTGACATATCTACCGGCTTTAACTATTTTCCTGTGGAGTATGTTTTGAACATGTTCCACTCTTGTGAATTGGGTGTTCGAAGTTAACGCTCCCC